ATAAGTGCTGTTGGAGCAATGGCTCATTTGTTTTCTGATGACTCCTGACACTATTTAGTAGAACAAACGTTATATAGCTTAAATAACTTAAGAAGCAAAAAGGACCTACTAATTAGTATTTAAAATAGTAATCTAAGCTGTTCCATCCATTAGCCGGTAAAGTACCCACATAACCCAGTCCATGTATAATTACTGAACTTGAGTCTGCCACAGTTTCAGATCTCTAATTTAAAGTAAATATTTCAGTTTTTTTTTCGCCGAATTTTTATAAGAAACAAGTTTTAACGCTTGTCGGTAATTCAGTATTGCTAAATTAGTTAAACTCAAACAATACATACTAATTTAGTTATTACCACATAAGTTAGTGCTTTTAAAACTTAAAAGTACTATTGATATTAGTAACATCAGCCTTTTACTTTAGGCTTAAGTAAAACTGAAAGTACAATGTAGCGTTTTGCTATACCCTAACTTTACAAGTTACAGCTACGCTTACATTTTATTTTTACAACGTGACGTAGTATTAGTTATGCTAACTCAGTAGTAACTGCATGAAAATTTCTTAGGCCTAACGTCCGATCAATGCAATTATAAAGAGAGTAATACAAATATAATAATAAAAAGAATGATTACGTAACAATTTACAATAACAGTAAAAGAATTAGTTACCTCTGGTCAAATGTATTATCTGGGCTAGATGTGCCATTTCCACCATAACCACCTTCAGCGTCCATTGTCAATTTGAAAGTATAATATATATATATGTCCACCAAACAAAGACAACACTTTCAGCGCGCTTTAAAAAATATTGTATGCCGAAACTGCGAGCATTGGACACTAGGCGTAGGATCTAATCAAATCACGAATGCCTCTGTCGTTACGTGATTCTAATATTATTATTTTCACATCCCCCATAAATATGATGGTTTTGAAGATATTAAGCTCACGAATGAAAGGAGCTAAAAATCAAAAAAATACAATAAACTCTAAAATATCGATCAGAGTTATTAAATGAGTATATTTTGCCAGTAGATACATTTTTCACGTTTTGAATAAATGAAATAAATTTAGAAATATATAAATCCGTGAATAATGATAAAGAAGAAATTTATTTCATCAAGCGTTTTATAGTAATGGATACCTGATGATGACAAGACCTTGTCGAAACGTTGTACATTTGCTGTTATGTTAAACTTATATTAAAGTTTTTCTTCATTACCCATTCAAGCCGTCTCCAACCATTATTAATGGATACTTGTCTTTTGGCCACCCAGTGGCACAGCGGTATGTCCGCGGACTTACAACGCTAGAATCCGGGTTTCGATACCCGTGGGTGGCAGAGCGCAGGTAGCCCATTGTGTAGCTTTGTGCTTAATTACAAATAAACAAACATATTTGTTTTTCGCTTTGCTTTTTGTAACGAAATTATAAAGTAGTTAACCAAAAATACGATTTAGAAAATTAACAAATAAACATAAGGCAGATAAGAGACGCAGCGTGAACAGAATGTTTATAATTGGGCTAAGCTTTCAGTCGTCACTGATGGGTTAATAGTGTTTTAATGAGTTTATAAATGACTTAACCAAAAGTACTATTTAGAAATTAACAAGTAAACTGTAAATAAGGTACATAAGGGACGCCATGTAGACAGAATGCTTATAGTGCAGCTAAGCTTTCAGTAGCCTCTGGTAGAACAAAAAAAAAAAATGTATCATGTAATATTATACAAAAGTCGAGATACAGGAGACTAGGAACAGAAGAAGTGTAAAGGTTCACTGTTCCCATTAAAATTGACCATTGAGAAAATAATGATCTAGATGCGACGTCAGATATCCTGCAGGAATCGTGTTGTCTTTATTCCGCACCAAGGATATGGTGGGTAAAATGTATCGTCACCAATCACATTAAACTAGAACCAAAAGTGATTGATGTAACGTTAGTTTAAAAAAGGCTGTAATGAGCTAGGCTAAGTGAAGCAGGGCATTCGTCCAGCGAAGCAAGCGAACTCAGTAATTTGAAAACCAGTCCGACTCATTTTAATTATATTTCATCATCAACTTACCAAGTCTTTTCTTCTTCTTCCTCAATGTAAGTTTTATTTTCCTTGTGATATAAGTAAGGAAATGATATTTTCCACAAATAGAACTACATACAATCCAGAGGAAGAGTTGGTCATTGACGTGAGATGGATGTCTGAGAGAATTTCGGGTCTAAGAGAAAGTCCTCTTCTAGACTTCGGAATTTTGTTAATACTGTTAAAGGCCATGACTTCTGTCTCGTTACATCCAACAACTCAGGTGTACCCAGAACGGCTGGCCATGTTCTTCTCTTGAGGACTGACCTCAGTCCAAAGGAAGCTTGCATGACTGAGGATCTTTATAGTGATGTGATGTCGGATAAGACAGAGACCAGGTGGAGTAGTCTTTACAGGATTCCAGACCTTTATCAATCAGGGTACCTCAATCCAATCTCTGGTCAAAGCTACCCAAGAACATCCAGGAGGGACTGTGGGCACCAAAAAAGGAGATGAACCATGGAGAAGTGATGAACTTCTTTGAGTCTAAAGGTATGTTGGTACACTGGATCATGGAGAAGACTGGATTTTTGCAGAGCCAAAGGATGAGATACCAATAGCAGCTCATTGTTTTGCGACTTTAGACCAGGGATCAAACAAATGGATGGCAGTCACAGTCCCTGTGAGTGTCTACAATGCTATGCTCACAACATCAAGGACATATATGCCAACCGATGACCAGAAAATTATAGGGGAGATGTTCTGGCCATGAGCAAGGCAAAGCAGACCCTTCCACTGACATTGAAGGGTACAGTGAAGGAAGTTTTTCACTGCATTACTAAAGGTTAGTGGCCAACTTCGCCAAGACTGCTTTATAATTACCAGCTCTCCCTAAAGTAGAGAGGCACTTTAGATGTAGTAAGGAATACAGGTAAGCATTTCAGTCCCTGTTGTTGGCATCCATGAAGTGTGCTTTAGTTCCTGGTTTTTGCATATCTACAAAAAAGACTGAGTTCATGTGAAACAATAACACCAGTGATAGTGGAATTGGAGCAGTGTTATATCACTGGTATGGTGGAGTTGAATAATGTAATTTCATAGACTAGACTTACACTCACAGCACTTGAATGCAGCTAATGTACGATAAAGAAAGAAATGCTTGCAGTTGTGATCTTGTAAAACAATATTGGCATTATTTGTATGGTAAACAATTCACTGATTTGGTGTACTCTGCATTGTTGAAACTTTAAAAACCCCAAAGGGACGATGACATATTGGATAAAAGTGCTGCGGGAGTATCATTTATTAACACGTTATTGCCCATGCCTGCACCACTGAAATGAAGACAGTTTTGTTGCCATACAGGAAGACACTTCCCACTCATTGATTTTCCTGATCCTAGAAAAGACGTTAAAGTTAACTCAGTTTGTCCTATAGTGGTGACAAGCCGTATAGTAGGATATTCTATTGTTGTTTGGATGCCACAATTAACACTGGGAAGACCAACTGAATAACTCAGCCAAGTGGTTAGGGCGCTCGACTCGCAATCTGATGACTAGCTGCCTTCCCTCTAGTCTTAAACTGCTAAATTAGAAACGGCTAGCGCAGATAGCCCTCGTGTAGCTTTGCGCGAAATTCAAAACAAACAAACTAAAACAGAGTATTATCGAAATACTAGTCGATGATGATTTGTTGCCTGAGGAAACATTAGAGGAATACTCTAGTGTTCATACTAGCCAAACGGGGTTGAGTAATAATGGTTTTTGTTTGGTATTTTATAGCACAAAGCAACGAGGCTATCTGCGCTAAACAACCGGTAAAACAGTTAAAGTAAATTAGAGTAAAATGTAAAAGTATAGCGAGTTAAAACCAAAATATGTCCACAATTTGGATAAATGTTTATATACAATTAAAAAGGCCAAAAGTGCGTAAAAAATTAAAAATACAATCAAGTCGGACAGTGCCACCATCGCCAATGACACTGTCCAACATCAGGGGTAAACTCTTACAAAACACGTGTCGAAAATGGTGTCGCTACTTACGGTCGTAACGACAGCACGACAGTAAAATGTGGGCTATTGTGACTTGAGTGTCACAATGGCTACACATCAGTGTGTCAATACCTGATAAAAGAAAACGATGAGTTAAAACAGTGTGACCAATACGTAGCCTTGCCAGGACAACTTCTTCGTCTGATCCTTATGAAAGCAAGATGGCCAAAGATCAATAGAAGGTTTGATCTGAAAAAGCTTATTATGACGTTGCTTACTCCAAGTCGACTGCCAACAGTACCATAGTCCATGTACGGTACAGGCACGGCCGTGACTGCACCAGAGCAGACGGACTTAGCGAGCTCGTTCCTGTGAATACCGACGTGACTAGGTATCCAGAAAAGCTTGATGGAAACACAAGATAGAGAGAAATGGGCCAGTCGTTGTTGAATATCGATGAGAACAGGAACTAACGTTAAGCGATTCCAGGGCCAGTAGAGAATTAGTGTAAATAGTACAATCACTGTACTGCATAGCTTCTACATGATCCAAGGCAAGAGAAATAGCATACAACTTGGCCGTGAACACAGAAACTGTAGAGGGGATCCTGAGAGCAACTACTGAGCCACAGCAAACCATAGCAGAGCCTACAGAGTCATCCGATTTCGAACCATCCATGTAAATAGGAAGAGAAGAATCGCTCGAAAGATGTTCAGCAAAAAGAAAATGGTACTTCCAATTGGGAGTATCTGCTTTCCTCAGATGACTCAGGGAAAGGTCACAGGAAGGAATGGTAATAAGCTATAGTGGAATGGGCTGATCATTGGTGACAGCAATGTCATCTAATGCCAGACCCAAGAGAGCCAGTTGTGCCCGGAAATGAAGGCCAAAGGGAGGAATTACAGACCATCTGTTCTGAAAGAGCATGGTCCACCGAGGAAGAAAGACACAATCCCAGGTGAGATAACGTGGTAAGGATTGAAGCTTGGTAGCATATTGTAAAGAAAGTTGCAAACGACGGAGGTGAAGAGGAGATTCATGGAACTCAGTGTACAAACTCTGAACTGGAGAAGTGTGAAAAGCCCCAGTTCAGAGCCAAAGCCCCTGATGATAAATGGGGTCTAGCATTTTCAAGGACGAGGTCCTGGCAGAACCATTGACCAAATACTCATAGTCCAGTTTGGATCGAATCAGGGCACGATAGATCCTGAGCATAGAACATCGATCTGCTCCACAAGAGCTGGAAGAGAGGATATGGAGAATGTTCAGAGCCTTTGCACACTTGACACGTAGCTGCTTGATTTGTGGAATGAAGCTAAGTTTATGGTCAAAGATAAGCCCCAAGAACTTTGTCTCAGGAACCACACGAATAACTATATCGCCGAGACAGAGCTCGGGATCGGAGTGGAGACCCCATTTGCAGCAAAAATGCGTGCAAACGGTTTTGGAAAAGAAAATGTAAAACTGTTTGCAGTGTTCCACGTCAACGACCAATTGAGGGCAGTCTAAAGCTGCTGCTCAATAAACCTCATGTTCGACGACTGATACGAGAAGTGGAATTCATCAACATAGAGCCCATTTGCAACAGTCGGAGGAAGATTAGTAGTGACAGCATTAATCTTAACACTAAAAAGTTTGACAATCAAGACACAGCCCTGAGGGACTCCAAGTTCCTGTGGAAAGGAACGGGAAAGAGTTGAAACCACTTGGACTTGGAATCGCCAGTTCAGTAAAAATGGGTAAATGGCCACGTAATCCATAGGAGTGGAGGTCCTGCAAAATGCCATACCTCCACGTAGTGTCATAAGCCTTCTCGAG